AAAACAGTTTTATAGTTTATATCTTCAACAAACTCGTAACCTAATGATGGATAGCAGTGACCACCAAACAGTGAAACTGTTATCAATGAGGTGGAACACAGAATGGGGAGAAAGGGTCATACTTTATGTAACAAATATGGAAACCTCTTAAAAAATATAGGGAGGCATTCTAGGATGTGTAGCTCCATCCTCCCCCAGACATCCCTTCTGCAACAGGAGGCTTGACCTCTGTAGTGCCTGAAGGGGGAGACTCCCACAGCTCTGCCTGGGCTGAGCCTCTCTTCTTACTCCCCATATATACTACCGCTAACCTCATTCATGGAGCTGGGTTCCTCAAGAGTTCATTAATCAAGATATTACTACCGTGTCTGCCAGCCTGTGGGTTCTTCAGGAAATGATACCAATTGCTTTTTCTACACATAAAGGCCACTTTAAATATCTGACAGAGGAGAGCAGAGAGGCACTAGGTCAGCAACAACAAGAACAGGGTTTCTGAGCACCAGTGTCTGATTCATTGGTTATGTAGGAATGGTAATACCTTACCCACCCACCAAACCAGGATGTTTTGAAGCCTAAAAGCAGGTTATTTAAAAGTTCTTTGCAAAGGATAAAGCATCATACCATATATAAATATACACATGCTCCGTATATATGCACCATATATATACACACACATACTACACACATGTGCGCACACATACACACATAGCTTTTATTGTGATACCCTATTTTGCCTCCCACAGAACTTTAACAATAACTGGGTAAAGTTGCGTCTAATACTTTCTATTGTGTACCATACTCACTTGGTTACAGTTATCTTTTTTTTTTTTTTTAAAGATTTTATTTATTCATGAGAGGCAGAGAGAGAGTGAGTCAGAGACACAAGCAGAGGGAGAAGCAGGCTCCATGTGGGGAGCCCCATGTGGGAATTGATCCCGGGTCTCCAGGATCAGGCCCTGGCTGAAGGCGGCGCTAAACCACTGAGCCACCCGGGCTGCCCTGGTTACAGTTATCTTTCCAATAAATTCTATGTATGTTTTATCTTTGAATAATCCATAGAGCCTAGCACAATTTCACATAATAAATGCTCTCTCAATATAATGAGTTATTTAGTTGTTACTAAATCATTTAGGATTTATTCCTTTTAGAAATGTAAACTCTAGCAAACCTCAACATTCTACATTTATATAAAAATCTTATTTAAAACTGTCATTAAATGTTGACCTCCTATAACTAATAACTGGAAGCCCTTTAAACTAATTAAAGATCATATTACAACAAGCCTTACATGAGAATTTTTTTAAAAGATGGGAACAATAATGCAAGTGTCTCTTTAAAGAGAATTAAACGCAGGGCTAATATAATCACCCCAGGTGGAAACCCAGGATTTGAACAAAAGCAAGAGGTTAGCACTTCCATTCCTATGATAACTTCTGCAGTAGACAGGAGCTGAGACTTGATTTAACTCTTAGTTATAATACACTTTAATTCAATATATTTTAATTTAATTCAATTTAATTCTAGTTCATTTTAATTCACTCTTTCATCTTGTTTTTTGTGTGACCTCAATTTAATTTCAAGCTTAAGATTCTTAGAAGCCCTCTGCAGAGAAGCTTTGGAGCAAAGGAAGCAAGCTGCATCTTGTCCCTTCAGATTTTAAGATGTACGCCCAACACTTTCTCTGAATAGCTACAGCACACCACTCCACGCCCCGCCATAATCTATTGGCCTGGTTAAATGACCACCCCATTTCACACCACAGAAAGCACTTGATAACAGCCCAATAACTGGATTAAATAAACCTGGATTGCCAAATAAGCCTAATTATGAGGGAAAATAATTATAGCTGTATTTGTTTGCCAGGGCCACCATCATAACAAAATACCAGCCCAGGGAGCTTAAGCAATGTAAATATGTTTTCTCACAGTTCTGGAGGCTAGAAATACAAGATTAAGGTATCAGCAGGGTTGGTTTCTTTTAAAGCCTCTCTTTGGCTTGCAGATAGCTTCCTGCTTGCTGTGTCCTCACATGGTCTTTTCTCTGTGTATGTTACCCTTGGTGTCTCTTTTTATGTCCAAATTCCCTCCTTGAGTAGGGACATCAGTTGACTGGATTAGGGCCCCACTTTAAGGAACTCATTTCAACTTAACCACCTCTTTAAAGGCCCTATCATCAATACAGTCACATTCTGAGGTACTGAAGACTTAGGGTGTCATCACACGAACGGGGTGAGGGGACAAAATTCAGCCTACAACAACAGCTAACTAGGTTCATTTATCTCTGTTTGAGGCACTAGTTTAGGCTTTGTTCATCTTAGAACCCAAATGATCTCTTTCAGCCATCCCTCCCCCATGTAATCTGTACAGAGAGAAGCAATTTTGGAGATTATATTCTATGTAGCCCTCCAAGCATCACATGGATCCCCCCCCTTGGGTACTTAATAAGTGAAGACACTCATGATGCCCCCATCTGCTACAACACGGTTAGCTCTTTGAGTGTCACCAAAAAGTTGTCCAGCGAGAGATCTCCTAGATAGTCTCTAAAACCAGAGTAATGCTTTTACAATTTTTTTCCCAGTATGAGACACCAGCTCATTTGAAATATGCCATGGCACATCCTGAATCCCTTTGACTTATCTTGTAAAATATTGTCAAAGGTGAAGAAAGAAACTATTGGAGAAAGTGCTCAAAGGCTCTTTAAGATTTCTGAGGAGCAATAATAAAAGAGTTAAGAAGGCAACATGAGAGGCCCAGAGTCAATACTTGTGGCTTCTAGTGGACTACTGAGGAGGGTCATTTTCCCCTTAATTACTATTGTATATGACATGTTGAACAAAAGGTTTTTAAAAAAATAAGCCAGGGGATCCCTGGGTGGCTCAGCAGTTTAGCGCCTGTCTTTGGCCCAGGGCGCGATCCTGGAGTCTCGGGATCGAGTCCCGCGTCGGGCTCCCGGCATAGAGCCTCCGTCTCCCTCCTCCTGTGTCCCTCCTCTGCCTATGTCTATCATAAATAAATAAATAATAAATAAATAAATAAATAAACTATCTTTAAAAAAAAAAAAAGCCAAACTAGTGGTATTCAGATAGATTTTTTTCAGTTCTTGACGTTTCAAGTTCTATGGAAGATGTGCCTTATTATGTCATACCTATGCTCAGACTGCAAAATACACTTTATTTTACCCCAAGCTTCTAAAGTCATTTTTATAAAGCAAGTGAATTAGAATCTCTTCAGAGTGCCTGCAATAATCAGAAATTGCGTACACCATCCTCAAGGCTCTCTCACGTTTTAAACTTCAAATGGCCATATATTACCTTATACATCTAGTGTATCTCAACAGCATACACAACAATTATCACGTTATCTTGGCTAGTGTTTGGACCAGCACTATTAGGAGTGAACTGACAATACAGCTTATCAGTAACAGTAATCTGAAGCTATCACCACACTAAGACTCATAGTCTAAGGTACACAAACAACTGGGCTTGAGGAAACCTTCTCTGGTAGGTCCTATTTTACTGTTTAATCCATTGCCAATAAAATGAGAACCCCTGCTCTAAGTAGTTTCCCTAAATATGGGGAGACCTGGTATTACCTTTGCCACATTAACTTTCAAAAGACCATCAGATAAAGAAGCCATGTCAACAGCAACCTACCTAAGTATGAACAATGTGCAAAGCTTGACGACTCGAAATCCTGGGCACTATTCTTTTTTTTTTTTACATTGGGGGAGTCACTTGGTAATTCAGCATAATGGGATCCTGGGCACTATTCTAAGCAACAACTCTTTCAGCCCCGATAACAGCTAAGAAATAATATTTTCTCTGAATTTAATTAGCCAAGGTCAGTGGTTTCATTCAGAACAGCGAAAGACAAAAAAAAAGATGGTTTATGAATAGCAGATAATCAAGCAAATCTTTATACCACTCCTTACTAAACAGAAATTGTTCAACAACCCCACAAATGTGTTAAAACGTCTCCCTTTCTCCACAATGGTAGTCAAACAGCATAAATGATTCGACATGAAAGCAAAGACTCCTCAAAACTTGTCTGTGGTGCCACAAATTTTCATTTACTAACGGTTTAGGTCATAAATTTTTTTTGAGAGTCACATGTCCCGGTATGCCGCTGTGTTCTGTACTCTTCCTTTCCCTTTCTTATCATATTTTTTGCCCTTTGGTTTCCTGACACTTCCATTTTCTCTTTTTATGTTCCTGTTATGCTCACCAAACGGCAGAAACGTGGGGTGCAACCGATCACATCTCTAGCAAGCTTTTTCTTATGCTAGGGCTTTCCAGAAGAGAACGGGAGACCCAGGGCAGCCCAGATATTACCTATTCAGGTTTTCCAAGCGAAGTGCGCGTGGAAAAGCCTCTCTTCGCCCTTCATTTTGCGTCTTTTTGACTAACGGCGCGGTAGCGCCCAGACGCAGATATTGACCAAGAACTACACTTTCAAAATGGCTTTGCTCCTTTCGAGCTGGCACGGGGTCTATAAAATACAATTTATTTCCACTGCAACCAACCCTTCTGTCTACCCGAAATGTTACCCCGTACGGAGGCAACTGAACCTAACCCGGTGTAGACAACAACCGAATCACGGCTGCTAAATTCAGTAGAGGGACGGCACAGCCGTTGGACTAATGTAAAAAGAGCGTTACGGGGGGGGGGGGGAGGAAGAAAAGGAGAAAAAAAAAAAAAAAAAACAGAAAAACCCCAACCAGAAACCACACGGAGCCTACACCCAGGGGCGGGCACTGCCCGCGCCGCCCGCGCCGCCCGCGCCGCGCCCTCCCGCCGCCCCGCCGGCCGCGAGCACGCCTCCCCGGCGGCCACGCCCCCGCCCGGCCCCGCCCCGCCCCCGCCCCGCCCGCCGCGGCCACGCCCGACGTGAGGCGCGGGAGCCGCCGGGCCGGGGGCGGGGCCTGCGCCGCCCCTCCCCCCGCCGCCGCCGGCGGCCTCCGCGCGGGCCTCCCAGCCCGTATTCCACTCACTTTGTTCTCCGCCTTTGTCCTAATCCACACCAGCAGGTGGAGCCGCAGTTAAAGTTTCCGAGTCCATTCCGGGAGCGGGAGCCCATCTTGCTCGCCGCCGCGGCCCTCGCTGGAGGAGGAGGGTCAGAGCTCGGGTGCAGCCAATCGCGGGCAACGCTGCTAGTTATCAGAGCAGAATGGGCTGTAGTTTAGTGAAATAGGAAAGCTGCAAAACACTGTGGAGTGCTCCCGTGTAAATAAAAAGAGGAAAAAAAAAAGTTTCTCAAGTCGCCGCTGCACGACGTCGGGCAGGCGCCGGGGCGGGGGTCTGCGCTCTCCCGAGCGGCCGCGCGCTGGACTTTATTGTGCCGCAACAAGCCCCCGTTCCCATTGTTTGTGTTTTTTTCAAAATATGGCAAAGGTTCAGGTGAACAATGTAGTGGTGCTGGATAACCCTTCTCCTTTCTACAACCCGTTCCAGTTCGAGATCACCTTCGAGTGCATCGAGGACCTGTCTGAAGGTGAGTCGGCGCCCGCCCGCCGCCGGGCTGTCAGTTGCGGGCTGCAGACGTTGAAAGTTTCCCGGGCCCGGCCTCGCGCGGGCGGCCGGTGCTCGGCGCCGGACGGGCGGCGGGCTCGGCTCCGCGGAGGGAAACTTGAAGTTGGCGGACGGCGGCCGCCGGGGCGCGCGCGGCGTCCTGCCGCCGCCGGGGCGCCTGCCGCGGCTCAACTTGCGCGGAACTTGCCCGAGCGGAGGTAGCCATGTTGTCAGCTTTGTCTGGCGGGCGGGCGGGCGGGCGGGCGGCGCGCGAGCCCCGCACTCGCCCGCGCCGCCGGCCGGGGGGCGTCCCGGGCTGGCCCCGCGCCGCGAGCGGCCTCCGCGGGCCGGGCCGGCGCGCGGGCCGGGGAGGGACCGGCTCGCGTGGGGTCGCGCCGGCGGGTCCGCCGCGGAGCCATCTTACCAGAGCGGAGAGCTGGGCCACCGACCCCGGCGTCACGACGCCTCCTCTCCGCGCCGCGGGTGACGAGCGCGGCGCCCCGCCTGCCCACCCCCTGCCCCCGGGCCGGAGGCTGATCCATTTTTAGAGCCTGCGCCGGCGCTGCCCCGCTCGGGGGTGGCCGTGGCCGGCCGCTCGGGGAGGAGAGCGAGGCTGTCCTCGCGCTGATTTCTGGCTCCCTGGACCAACCAGCGGGGGAGGCGGGCGCAGGCTCGGGCGCCGGCGCTCCCCGGGGACGGCGCCGGGATGCTCGGGGCGCCCGGTGCAGGCGCGCAGGCCCGCCCCGGCCGGCGTGGGCTCCGCTCTCCCGGAGGAAAGACGCCGCCAAGCCAGAAAGTTGCATTTAGCCCGGGAGCAGAAATAAAGTCAAACACCGAAATCGTTTCCAGGACTTAATCACTGGCTTCTCGGTAGTCTGAGAAGACTTTGCTTCAAGACCCGATTGGGATCTAATTTAAAAATCGCCCCACGTCCCAGCACCCTGAGCATAAAACACAAAAGTGGGCTAGGAAATAAAAGGAAGTCCTGATAGCAATGCAGAAATTCTTACGATTTTTTTCTTAAGTTCGTTTTAAGGTCTCCAAAGATATTTTTGTCGTGTGCAGTAATAAATATTTAGAAAGCTAAAGCTTGCCAAGGTTTTCATCTTTGCACTTAAGAGTTTATAAAATAATCCAGTGGTTCACTTTCGAAATTTGAAGAGAGGAAAATTTGACTCCATCAATGGTAAGTTTACGATTAAATAGGGGACGTACTTATTTGAACTTACAAGTTATTTAACAAAATGCATTTAAAATTATGCTAATCATGGCATATAAAACGTTTCACTTTAAAAATTAGTTTTCAGTCTCCACAAAATGTTTTATGTAGGGTGTTAGATTTTTAAATTATAAAAGCAATACACGCTTATTGGAATAAACTTTTTAAAAGTTGTACATACATATATAAATATAAAGTAGTCCTCTGCCTTCAGTGCCTTCCACCATCTCCTGTAATTTAGAACACTTTCATCTGTGCTCTTCCAATAAGCATTAATGCATACATAAAGCATGTATGCATATGTATATAATATGTAGGTCACATTTTGAGAGAACTCATTTATTAAGCTAATTTCTAATAGGCCACTGATAATAAAATTAAAGGGGATTTTGTTATTATTCTGAAACTATTTGATTACTTTCCCAGAACAGTGCTATAATCACTGAAAGCTACCAGGCCAATTTTTCATACCCAACAGTAAGTTTTCCCTTTTATTGCCAATTGCATATAAAAATGGGCAAATGCAAGAGAAACCATTATCGGTCCTTTCCAACGTACTATATATTTTAAGCTTTAGAAGTTCTTCAAATTATAGGTATTTCTTAAGTGAGGCCTTCCATTTTAAGAGCCAGTTTTGGACAAGGATGATAGATGATTCAAGAGGTTACAGGGCTTTGACACTGGATGGCTGAAACCCGCCATTCATGGAAGCCGAATTATGTTCCATCTTTAACTGGCATCAGTTGAGTACTCAGCTGAATCACGTCAGAGTTTTTAGGGTACTAGCATTAACAGTACACTTCTACTTGTGTACCTCTTCCCAGGGCACTTATACTGGTTATTTAGCATTTTTCAAGAGTTTAAGCTGAGTCATACTGAAGCTGCAAAGGAATCTTTCAAAAAGGTGCCATGCTTGTGTACTCCACCTAGAGGCTATGTGGATTATGGAAATTGAGTTTATTTAGTAAAAGCTTTTAACAAGTTCCATACTTTTGTCCTGCAGTCTAGAGAATATTCTGAAGAGAAATTTTCACTTCATAATTTTGTCTTAGTTCCAAGCCAGACATTGGCCACCACTTCTTAAACTTAACAGGAGACTCAGGATGTTTGATATGATGGTTCCCAAGCTTATACAAGTTTGGATTGATCTTCCTGCTAATCTTGTATACCCTCTGTGGACTGCTGATTCTTTGTTTCTCTAACAGAATGGAGCCATTTTTTTTTTAAGTTGGTCAATATCGATAATTATAAACTACTGTCAGTCGAACCCTTAAAAGGTACCAGAAATGAACATGGTGCTTCATGCTTTTAAATTTCAGGCTTGCTCTAATCCCCAAAGATTACCTACTTCACAGTAACCACAGATCTTCCCAAATAGGGTAATTAGTTTAAAATTCCCTTGCTGACTTCCCTCACTCCCAAACATAAATGCAGATACTCGCAGATTGGGATTACCATGATTAAGTCAAACAATTAACTTTTAAAATAAATGAATAAAGTCCTTCAACAGATAACCTGTGCATCAGACTCTACCCCTTACTCCTTTGAATACAGGAGACAGGGGAATAGAAGTGGAGTTTAAAAAAAAAAAATAGCAACTGATGCTAATTTATAAATAAATTAAACTCAGCTATAGCAAGGATTCCATTAGCGTAAAGGTACAGGTGTTCCCTGAGTTACAGCCTGTGCTCCTTGAGGGTAGATTATCTTTCCATGGCCTCTGCCCTCACCCATCTCCCCCCACCCCTGCACACACAATTAAGTTCCTTTATTCCACTATCCAGTTGAGAGCCAGAAACGGAAGAATTTATCTTCCTAGTTTCGGTTTTGGAAAGAGCCCAGGCTTTGGAATTGCAGAGACATAGCTTGGGTTCTGATTCCTGAGTTTGCTAGCTGTGTGAATTTGGGTAGATTACTTAGCCTCTCAGGGCTTTCTTGTTTGCATAATAGAATAATTCAATCCATATAATAAAGCTGTTGAGATTTAAATAACAAGTGTGAAGTTGGCAAGACCAATGCCCAGCACGTAGTAGGTATGAGTTTATAAATCCTGACTATGTTCCTCTGCCAGACCACAACTGCCACCTTACCTTTTACCAATTAGGAGGCCAAGAGCACTAGATGTATGGTACAAATAAATACATATGAAATGAACAAAATATGAAAACATCCATGTGACAATTCCCAGACTTACTCTCATTTGGCTAGTTTAGTAGGTTTTACACTCCTTTCTTAAAAAGTTTCTCCACTTAGCTTTTGGGTTTCCTATGTCATTGATACCTGTATCTAGTAAATAACTCAAACTTATCATGTCCAAAACTAATTCCTGTTGGTTTTCATCCCCTACCCCTTGAAAAAAAGGTGACTCTTGCTGCCTTGATCATCAAGATTTATCCAGAGTGTGGTAGCTTCTCATCCCCATGGCTACACGTGGTCCAAACTACCATCCCTTCTTGCCTCGGTTGTTTAAATATCTACCTGTTTCTTCCCTCCCTGTCTTACAGTCTGTACTGAACACAGGATCTAAAATGATCTGAAATGAAAGTTGGATCATGTTATCCCTCCAATCAGAACCTTCCCAATGGCTTCTCATGCCACTCAGTGTAAAAGTCAAAAGTCTTTATGACACAGCCTTTAAAACTTTGCATAATCTGGCCATGCCCCTCACGCCCAATCTAATGGTCAGTTATTTTCCCCTTTATTCAATTTGTACCAGCCCGGCCTCCTTGCTTTTTCTTTTTTCCTTAACTAATTTATTTATAATTAGAATGTGTGTGTGTGTGTGTGTGTGTGTGTGTGTGTGCGTGTGTGCGCGCGCGCGTGCGCACAAGCAGGAGGAGCAACAGAGGGAGAGGGGAGAAGCAGACTCCTGGCTGAGCAGGGGACCCCGGGACCATGACCTGAGCCAAAGGCAGACTCTTAACTGAGCCACCCAGGTGCCCTCTCTTGCTTTTTCTTGAGCAAGCTAAGCATGCTCCTACTCCAGATATTTGCTGTTCCTTCTAACTAGATATACATATTGCTTCTTTCCTCTTAATCTTCATCAACAAATAGATGATCTTGTGAGATGTCAGATGCAGGACCTTGCATCTGGAAATGTGCTAGAAGATGGAGATACAAGTGGTCTAGGATGGAGCCACGAAATAGATAATAGGGTCTCAGAAAATGACTGCTGACTTAGAGAACCTAATGTAGTAACAGTAATAAACCTAAAGTAGCTTTTCAGTAAATTGAAGATTATATGATATGAATAAGTAGTACCTATGCTATTTCTCTTGTCTAGGGAACAAAAATATTTACACAATTACACAAAAGTGGCAATATACAGCAGCACTAAGTAAATTCTCAACAAGTGACCTAGAAACACCCCCGTGGTAGTGCTGCTGTAGCCTCAGCTTAGTGAATACAAGAGGCAGGCCGCACAGTGTTTAAACGCCCTCGGAGGATCAAAAGGTCTCAGAGGTGATCTGTATTTGCAGTTGTCTTCCTCCTCCTACTAAAGAGGAGGCAGCTTTATGGGATCCCTGGGTGGCGCAGCGGTTTGGCGCCTGCCTTTGGCCCAGGGCGCGATCCTGGAGACCCGGGATCGAGTCCCACATCGGGCTCCCGGTGCATGGAGCCTCCTTCTCCCTCTGCCTGTGTCTCTGCCTGCCTCTCTCTCTCTCTCTCTCTCTCCCTCTCTATCATAAGTAAATAAAAATTAAAAAATAATTTTAAAAAATAAAGAGGAGGCAGCTTCTTTGAAAAAGCAGTTGTTTTACTCATCTCTGGGTTCATTGTCACAGAGCACTCTGTAAAAGGTGCTCAATAAATGCTGAATTATGTAGAACAATTAAATTACATGAAATGTCTTGGGTTGCACTTTAATGTGTCTCATTCTTCCTCATGCCTGTCCCCACCATCTATACTCTTGTATCAAGTGGTTATAAGGATCCTTGGTTTCCTCTTTCCAATTTAAAAGAATGTACAACATGAAGAGGTGCCATGAGGAAAAAACCGACTGTGGTCCCTTTGCCAGTGGATGAGCTGAAGCCCCTTCTGAACCACAAGGGATGTTTGCTTATAAGGATTTTCCCCCACTTTAGAGCTCTTTGATAATTTGGATCTGTGCAACATAGTATGGAGCAGCCCAGCCCTTCCAAAGTGTGCTTAGTAGCTTGTTAAAAGATGACATGTAAAAGGGGGGAGGAATTCCACAGCAGAACAAACTTGGGAAATCCTGGATTAATGTTACTAGTGTTCCTTACTCTGCCAGTGTACTTTAAGAATCCTCAAAACAAGGTGGTAGCATTTCCCAAGTTTTTGGCCATGTTGCTTTGTTTGCAAGGAGCCCTGCCCCAGGGACTAGCGTTTCACCAAAGAAATTTTGAGAGACTCTGGTAAGAAACCTAAGAATTTTATAAGAGCAGTCCAGTGCCTTTCTGGATTTTCTACTATGAGAAGCCAATTTTAGCAGCCAATAAATGGCCTCAGTGGACATTAAAAGGGTCTTTGATAGCATCTCATAATGTAATTACTGAATATGAAATAATGTTTTGGTTTTTAACCCTAGACTTGGAATGGAAAATTATCTATGTGGGCTCTGCAGAAAGTGAAGAATACGACCAAGTTTTAGACTCTGTTTTAGTGGGCCCTGTTCCCGCAGGAAGGCATATGTTTGTATTTCAGGTAAGATTATTCTTGGTAAATAAGTATGCCAAATACGTTTCTAACCTATGATTGCACGGTCCTTATCCATTTCCTTTTGGGTTAAATCACTCTGCTTCTGCTGCATTCACTTTTTACCTTCTATTGTGTGCTGTGGGACGTTAATGTGATGTTTACTCCAGAGTTTGCACAGCATGCAGTAAAGCTTATGCTGTGTCACAGCCCATGTGGTGGTTAATTTGGGGCTCTTCCTGTGAAAAGTCCTATACTATCAGACTTTGAGAGTGGCTGTCCATCAGCCCAATACAGGGATTCAATGCATACTACTAACTGGTATAGTTAGTAATATGCATCTTCAGTTTATGGTTTCAGCCATTAGGAATAATGATCACAAAAACAACAACTTCATTTCAGCACAATCAGTCATTGAACTAGGTTAATAAGTATTCTGCTAGATAGAGATCTACTGCATAAACAAAGTAGAATTAAGGTCCAGTGGTTTACTAAAGCATCTAATCTACATATATTATAGAGGATTACTATTACAAATCTGTTGCTCTGTTTATTATTTGTTAGGGGAAATTCTAATACAAATTATGTTCTCAGATATCACTGACAGTATTTGGGTCTGTGCCAAGGCTTTAGACAGTGTCTTCTGTATTCAAAGTGTTACTTCTTTTAATCATGTTAAATTGTTGTATAAGGCTATTCATTCACTTCTCAATTATCCATGCTTACTAGAGGGAGATCTTTATAAGTAGCCCAAAGAGTAGCCATAGGTTTAAGAAAATTTTTTTGTTACAAGTATTTCTACACAACAGAGTCCCATCAGTTAAGTAGAACCTACTGAAAAGACTTTATCCAGAAAGAAAATTCACTCTCTACCCCTGACCTCCTTTTTTTCTCATTTCACAGATGGGACCAATTTAAATGAATACTGTTGGTCAGCTAACCCATCAGATATGGGTCAAGAATACGTACGGTATCTCTAGAGCTACTACCCATCCTTCCCTCTACTGAACACAGAATTGAGAATCTTGGTCTCCTAGCCTTAGTGCATTTTATTAAAAACCAACAAATAATTTACTACTTTTAAATAGACGGTTAAGAAAAGCTCAAATATATTAGTTCAGATCTACTCATTAAAAGTGCTATTACCCTAAATTGTGAGTGCATAAGCTTGGTGAAAGACATGGGTACCAGAGAATGTGTAGGGGAAGGCACTGCAGTTATAAGACCTGCTTCAGATCCTGCTCCATTGCTTATTTAGGCACGTGACATTAGACAAGCTCCCTAGCCTCCCTTAGTCACTCTAGTCATCTATAAAATGTGGGTAATATCCTACCTCATCACTATGTTATGAGGATTAAATGAGGAATAAAGCAGTTAAGTGCCATCACTGACAAATAGCGCCCTACTACTATAATTAGAACTAAATTTTTATTCTCTTAAGTTCTTGAAATTGTTACATAAAAGAAGCAGTATCTGCTTTGACCCACAAGCTTGGAAAACCTATACTTCACTGATAATTCATGATGTGGTATGTAGTGGTATACCTTTTTATGCTACTATAAAACCTGCAAATAAGTCCCTTGGCTTTGAAACAAACCTTTAAATGTCTTTCCTGTGTGTTTATGTTGTTAAGAACACTCTTAAGCTTTTGGCTTAGAGTGAATAATTTGTTCAAAAGTATTTCCCTCCAGTGATTTTCCAGTAGTTTTACCTTGTATCAGTGAACACTGTATCAGTTGCCAAAAGGACAGAGAAAGCACCATGCAATTTAAATCTGATGGTCAGCCTGTACATTTTACAAAATTAACCATTATCAGCAAAAAGTGACTAAAATACAGTTTTTGTTTTGTGCTTTAAACAAACTGCCGTAGTATCCTCCTGGTCTGCCGTGAATAAATATGCCTTTCTCCTGAGTGTATCAAAGGCTAGCAGGAGGATGTCCAGACATCTGCCTAGTATTGCTGGTTGAAGTTAAAAATCTCTACCTCTCACTTCTTCCTAAGTGATTTGAGAAGCCTTTGGGTTTTCCTACTTGAATTTGAATTTGCTCAAGTTGAATCCTTTGGCAAACAAATTTTAAAACCCAAACATGACCAGAACTAAATTACTGAGGGGATGGGAAGAACTATGGAGGGAAGGTTTCCATAGTTTCCCATTCTCCTCTCTCTTCCAGGACATTAGAATCTCTTTGGGTAACCTGGAAGTAACCCGACCCCTCTGGGGGAAGGGAGGTACACAGGATCTGTAGGACAAACAATACTCTCAGGACGGGCCCTGAGTCCCCCTGCTGATCTTGATCTCTCTTCAATTACTCAAATTACTTCAGCCCAGGAATTGAGTTATGAATGAATTTCAAAATACTAAGTATATACGGTGTGTCCAGAGCTGTGCCAGTCATGAGATTATAAAGATGAACTGGACGGGACTTCTGCCTAGGAAAACACTTAAAATCCTAGCGAAAAATGAAGGGTAAAGATATTTACTTAGATTATTGGACATATGTTAGTAGAGGATGTGTGTCAAGTAATTTTAGGTGCAAAGACAGAGTATTACTAATTCTACCTTCAGAATTAGAAAGGGCTTCACTAGGAGCACCTGGGTGGCTTGGTTGGTTAAGCATCCAACTCTTGATCTCAGCTCAGGTCTTGATCTCAGGGTTGAGTTCAAGTCCCATGCTGTACTCCACGCTGGGCATGGAGCCTACTTAAAGGGTTTCACTAAGGAAATTCATGCAAACTTAGATGAACTTTTTAGTATGCTAGGGAAGAAGAACCTTACAGGCCAAGGGAACCAGTATATGCAAGGCACGCAGGCAGGAAAGATTACCAATACATTTTAAAGAACTCTAATTCTAGAACAAGAGTAAGAGGTATAGAGTTAAAGGGAATGTGACAGAGATGCTGGTTGAAGACAAATTGTAAAGGGCCTTATTAATGAAGTTAACAGATTTTTATCTCAAATGGGAGTAGTCATCTGGAGTTTTTAAAACTGGTAAAGGGATAGGAATGGATCTTTGCCTAGCTAATGCTGGCAGCAGTGCAAATAGCAAGCAAGCTGGGGGAGGCGGGTTAGAAAAGTGTCAGCAGTATTCCAGGTAAGAGATGAAGACATGAATGGAGTCTGCAGAGATGAGAAACGTTGAGACTGGCTGGATATGGGAGGGAGGGAAGCAGAAGATGAGTGAAGTTTTTAGCCTACATCAATGTTTTAGACTAGATAGGTATTGTGTGCCTTTTTGTGTCATCTACATGTGGTGAGGTACATGATAGTCGTTAGTGTTTTTGTTGATAATGGCCTGATTGAGAATACCAGCCAGGGGTGTTGCCAAGCTAAGGCACTGGCTGAAGTGGTCACCCAGGCCCAGGGATGTTCTTTAGTGTCCTGGCAAGAGTAAGCTAATCTGCTGGGATAAGCTTCATCCATTCACCACTCGATGGCTGCCTCAGGTCACGCTCAGATGCCTCACAATCACTGCCCATCAGCCTGGGACTCCTTCAAACCAGTCTCCTTACTGCCTCACACACTGCTGTGGACAGGACCCTAGCCTTTGCTCATGCTGTTAGCTTTCTCTAGTTCACTTTCTTTCACCTTCTGCATTCCTCAAAATTCAGCGGCTTGATTTAAAATAATGTCATTGAGTATATCTGCTTAAACCAATCTTTACCTTAATGGATTTCCATAATATATGTGGTTTAAATAGTACATGCTATGTTTTTAGTGCCTATCAAAGTCATTTACAATAGAGGATTAATATTTTTGAAAAATCTATGTAGCTATTTCTATGTCATTTTCAGTCTTGTTTTAATTTACTATTAGAATATCTGTACAGGATGGGAGAGTGGGTGTGAGAATATGTGTCCTGGGTATAAAAAAGAAACTGATATAGCAAACCTTTGTTGCCAACCGGCTGATCACTGAGTATTTACTAATTTAGGTTTGAAAATATGACTGGAAAAGGTTAGAATCAATTAGACTATTGGCTTAATTGTTTGCTGTATTTTATAAAAGGCTTTGTAATTGAATATTGTATAATCCCTCATTAACTACCACACAGTCTGGCTAGATTTATCTTCCTATAAAAAGAGTGAAGCTTTCAGGTGCCCAGAGCAGTCAGGTCTGTTGTTTGGACTAATATTCAAACTACATTTTCTGGCAATAAGTCAATCTCAAAAATGAGCATTTGCCTTGCTAGTTTTTGTTGCTCTGCCCTTAACCAGTGGTGCTCAAGGTAAGTAAAACTTCAGTCAGGCTTGCAGTTAACAGCCTTTTAAAAGATGTGTTTCTTTCCTTTTTAAATGATCCTAGGCTGATGCACCTAATCCAGGACTCATTCCAGATGCAGATGCAGTGGGTGTAACTGTTGTGCTAATTACATGTACCTATCGAGGTCAAGAATTTATTAGAGTTGGCTATTATGTAAATAACGAATATACTGAGACAGAACTAAGGGAAAATCCACCAGTAAAACCAGATTTTTCTAAGGTAATGTCCTAATTATTCCTTTTTCATTACTTTTACTATACTTTTTTTTTAAGCCAATGTCATTTCATAGTATATTGTGAAAACAGCTTGGAGACAAAATAAATTTGAGGCCTGTGTACCAACTGGGCAAACTAATCATTCCATTGCCAGACGTGACCTCAGACCCTACCTCCAGAGAGATCATTAGTAATTAATGTTGGTCAGGCACCTTCAGGGTCTCTGATGGTTTAGAAAATTGAAAGTGCCTCCTGTAAGAAACAGTTGTTTACAACTTTCTCTATGGCATTTCCCATATGTCAATATGTATTGGAGGTTAAACTAAAGGTCTTAATTATTTCTGGTTAATGGAAATAGCTTCTGCGTAAGAAGCTGAAACCCGTGATTCAGAAATACAGATTCTCAGAAATACTCACTATTTTATGATTTTTCGTTGGGACCTATAACAGTTTAGTAATTGGTGACTTATATGAGATTGGAACACAACACTCCATCTGCTGGATCATGCAAGAAAAATTACATGAGAGTACCATGGAATGTTCTTTCTGATAATTAGGCTGAAATCTTTAATCCTGGTGTGGGACCTTCTACTGATTCAATGTATTAGTTACATGAATGGCATCTTGTGTAGCAAAAAGAAAAAAACTAGAATACCGTTTTCTGAGAATGAACCACAATAATTTAAAGGTAGGAAACCACTAACCATGAGAGGTTATATTTGGGGAAATTTTTATTTTCTTTGAAAATATTACTGAAGAAATATCATGTCAATCTAAAAAGCATACTAGATTGTTAGATAAAGCATCTTGTGAAGAACTCACCTCAAAAAAAGAAATTCTCTCCCTTCAGGAAACAGAAGTGTAGAGGGATTAGATATTTTGTTGGTTAGTAAATAATCTGCATGAATTCCCTCAGATTTTCCATATCCTGTTTCCATTAGGCTACAATAATTTTTTTTTTTGCTATAGCCTTAGTCATTGTGTATTAATTAAGTTTAAGGTGCTTTACTTAATTTTACCCTTGTATGAGAATTTTAAGGAGTAGGATATAAAGAACTATTCTATTAAGCTTCTTTTTGTATATGGTATCTAACTTTATATATTTCCTTCTTCCTTTAGCTTCAAAGGAACATTTTGGCATCTAATCCCAGAGTCACAAGATTCCACATTAATTGGGAAGATAACACAGAAAAACTGGAAGATGCAGAGAGCAGTAATCCAAATCTACAATCACTTCTTTCAACAGATGCATTACCTTCAGCATCAAAGGGATGGTCCACGTCAGAAAACTCATTAAATGTCATGTTAGAATCCCATATGGACTGCATGTGACCACCTGCCATCCCTTTAGTACAAATTAAGCTATAAAAACACACAGAACTATTTCCCTGAAATTCCGTAAGTACATAGTCAAGACACAATGTGAAGAATTTGTTTAAAAACATCCTGTAGAAAGTTTATAAGAAAACCAGTATTTGAGCAAATTGTGGAATATAAATACAACTATTTTTAAGTAATTTTTTTCTCTAATGTGTTATTTTATTTGTTCTGAAACTAACCTTATTAAAACATATATATTATTTTCTTCTCCTCTATATGTAATTAAAGCACTTATAAAGAAAAATAGAAATCATCAGAGTAGGTTGTAAAGCTGTCAGCCTTTTTGACAATAATCTTTGGACCACTATTTTACTGGCCTTCCAAGAACAAACTTCAACTAAAATGTTTCTTCCAGTGATAAATAGTTTGGTTTAATGTGAGGGGCAAATTTCCATTCTTTTTTTTTTTTTTTTTGTCATATCCTTAAAGAAGGGATTTGAAGTCAAATATATGCAACCGCGAACTTTAGGACCTGATTTCCCAGGCCACCTTGAAGCCTCTTATGGCTACTATCATATGGAATGTTAGCATTCAGTTTGGTTTCTAAGATGATAACAAATGTAGTTAACTGTTTTTAAGGTCCTCTGGCTATGGATTTTGTTTTATAATAGTTTGGAACATCTGAATACTGAATACTCCTTGAATCATACATCATTTTTACTCAGTGAATTCAACAGGTCAAGAGCAGATACAAACTCGCTAAGTTTAAGAATAGGATATTATAATGACTTATAAAAATACTATGAACTTAACTCTTCAAAACTATTTGGTGGATCATCTATTGTTGGCAGCATTTATAAAAAACAAACAATGGATTTGGGAAGGTGTTATTAGCTTTATCATAATAGATAAGTCACTATTTTGGAAATATAGATATTTTCACACATGTGGTACTCTTCTCCGTATCCCTTGACACTCATGTAGAATAAGATTAGGCATGTTTGTGGTCAGCATATTTTAGATAGCCTTTCCAGGTAAGTTTCTTAAAAGCAGTCTTGGAAAGGAATCCATTAACTGGGCCAAAGGGATCTTTTTCTTTGATAAGAGCTAGGTCCTTCCTCAAAGTTTCTTATGCTTCATTAAATTAAGTGTAGAATATTCTCATTACTCTTGCTGCTAAGCAAGACATTAGCCATATGATGCAGTTATGCAGTGCCTTCATATCTAAAACTTTTATACTGCACTTTTTAAAGCTTTTATTTTGAGGAAGGGAAAAGGGCATTTGTCTGAATATGGATTCTAAGTTGTATATATTTCCTGTCATTCTAAAAAAGAATTTGTGAAGCAAAATTTTGCTAAATGTTAAACTTTGAAATTTAATATACCAGATTATTAAAATACTGTCCACTAACTAGTTCATAGATTTTAAAAATAAAATACATCCAACTGTTAAAACTATATGAAGAAAATTTCATTTTTGTCTAATTGCAATTACAGGAAAATGTTAAAATATTAAAATGAAAATAAAATTTTCCAACAAAGAGCTCAGTGATTAATATAACAAGATATGTGCTTGTTAGAAATAAAGCATATATAAGCCAAATTACCAAATAAAGCAATTTACTGCTGAGTTTTCATTCTAATTATAACGATTGATTTGTATTGACACCAAGGGTAGGTTTTTACATCAATTTGTAAACAGACAGCTAATTTTCACAATAGGTTACAACATTTTTTAAATCCTATCCTAAAATTTTTATGATTCTATGAGATTTAGAATTCAAACATTAGAGGCTAAGAAGATCTAGCACAGTCATGCCCCCCCCCCCCCCCCCCCCCCCGGTTTGGCTTCATTTAGACACTATGAATTTTAGCTAAAATGTTTGGAACAGTTTTTCTCCTTTATGATCATAACTAGCTCGGTCATGAAAAGATAAATTACTTATGCCACAGAAGAGAGAAGCAGGTAGGTTGGATGGAATGAGGATATCTTGAGCTAAGAAAACATTCTGGAAATCTGAGGAACATGCATGTATTTGCTCATTTATAACCTTAGGCTTCCATGTGGTCTTATCCTTTGGTTTTAAGATTTGGGGCTTATAGTTTTACCAAGAAAGTCTACGGCAGCAGTTTTCAGAACTTTTTACTGTAATCTATGATATAAAGTATGACCCTTTTAACACAAGTATTTATATTAATTTTCATAAAAATGCACCCATATAGTGCATCTTTACTATGTGCTGTTACATTCTGGTATGTTTTACGGTATTTTATTTTTAAATTGCTGGTTTTGATTCACTGAACTGGCATCTATGACTCTATGGGGTTGGGATACATAGTTTGAAGAAAGGCTAGTCTGACCTTTTGAGTAGATGAGACATAGCAATCTTTTTCTATAGTTCTAAAATTTATATTCCCTGTACCTATCTTTTTTGTCCTGTTTGGATTATGATCCTGACATTAAAAAAAAAAAAAAAAGAGGGTAAAGGGCTACTGTAGTGAATCAGCAGTCATTCACTTAAAAACTGTCCAAATTACTAGTAAGCCCACCACCATAGCCTGTTCTCATTTCCTGGCACTTGGTATAATTAACTTAGGAAACATTCCACATAATTACTTGGCAAACACTTTTGTTTGTTACTGGTATCATTTTATACAGAACTCTAGAACACTGGGTCATAAAAATTTTTAAATGCACATAAAGTGTGCATACCCTTCTAGTATGCTGAAGCTTGTCTATGCCTCTCACATTCACAAATCTCTTCTCATCAATGCTTAATGTACTATTTAGTTATATTTCAAAATCTGAAAGCCCCTTAGAATGGTGCTCTCCTTATGTAGGACTATTAATACAGCATTTCCTGTTTTATGGTAAGTTTTGTGGTATAAGCTTCTCATAAGAAAATTTCAGTACAGGCTTTCCTTAGTAAAGAGCAAAGAACATTTGTATAATGTGTAAAACCAAAGGCCTATTACAACAGTGCAGGAGAAGTAATTCCCCAGTCAAAACAATGTAAAACGCAAAATGGCATCAAGACATGTTTTTAAATTTTTCCTAAAGTTACTTTATAATCAGATCCTGATATTTGTCTCCAAAGGCTTTTAAATAGACTTGCTGAAGAATCATCACAACGTATGAATAAAGCTCCACAATGCAATTAAAGTATGCTTTCCATATATTAAGACAAATTTTCTACCTAAGAATTTTCAGTGGAAGCTACCGTTGCCCATAAGATCTATGAGCACAAAAATGCCTCAAGTTCTACTTTGGTAAAGTGAGATTTTCCCCATTTATCTCAACATTGTTTATTGGGTCCTCATAGAATGCCAGATGATGCCTTTTCCCATTAAATAGAATCTTTCAAAACCAAGATGCAAAAAGATAAATGGGATAAGTTTTAGGAAAAGAAGTGAAAGTAGAGCTTTTAAAATATTTTCTTCGAGCTACAAAAGAACTGCCACATATTTTCTTTGATTTTTGGCAGTAGCTACAAAATTAGCTTGAAATTTATCCTATTTTAGGTACTTTTTTATCAGGAAAAACAAAAACTGTTAGCGTCTGTAGTAAATTTAAATTAATCGAAATTATCATATAAAATACCTGCACTAGTAGATCCAATTCCTGTGGTGAGCACAGATCTTGGTGTAATCTTTGCTGCATACTTGAGGAATTGAGATTTCCCTGTGCCAGGATCCCCAACCAATAAAAGATGAGATTCACCTAGGAAAAAGTTAAGTTTTACATTTCTATGAAAAGACCCATGAGTAAGTGAATTATTTTTAGTATATGTGCTGCCAAAGTGAGCACGAGTAAGTGAATTAAAAAGAAAATGGTCTTCTTGGAATGCCAACACAATTTACATTTTATGCTTTTGCTGTACACTTAAGGTCACTTAAGGATTTAACTAGATATCCTTAGAAAAGTTAACCATCATCATAAATAACAATCCTTAAGTGATTTCTGAATGTGACATTTAAAATCTAAATTAATAGACTGCTATTTATAAATGTTTAGACATATGTTTAACATTTTAAAAATTGGGGCCTTATAAAGTTTCTGATTTTAATCTATTTTTAAAAGCAAACTACTTGATTAAATCTTTCTATACAAGCTATACAAATATTTTATTCCATTTTTATTTAAGTATTTTTAAGTGTTCAGGACTTTATAAGTGCTTTATAAGTATCGAATTGCTATAATTCTAACAGTTAAGTGAAGACCTTTTCATTTTATGAAAATCTTAGTAATTTAATGAAATATCTACTTTAAAGTACTTATTTTCAAATGTAACATAAATGAACATATGAATATCTTGTATGTATTATCTCACTTATCAAATTTATTCAGTAATATTCAAGTATTTTTACCTTAATAGGAAACTCCTACTTAAGTTCAACATTTAGCAGAGTGCCTGCAATCAGCAGGTGATCAAAATATAAAATACACATAAACCTTATTATACTTACTATTCTATACTGTACCGTATGGATTTAGAAATCTTACTAATAGCCTGCCTTGCTTATTAAAATGTCCTTTTAGTCTTTGGTTATTATGACCCTCAGGTGGCCTATATACAGGCCATAATAAACCTACTGTATGCCAGATTCAGGTCAGTTAAATGTGTTAGCCGCAAAAGAGCTTTCCGCCATTTGAACATAATTATACACTTAGAGTAATCTTTGCTTGAATGTGTGACCTACAGCAGCACCTCATGGCAGATGGCACTTTTGCTACCTACCAGCAGAAGGGGAATCAGCAGGCAGATGACTGGGAGCAGCAGTCTGAGAGAAACACACTGACAGTCACAGATGGAGAGACGCTGACTTGGAGACCTTAAAAAGCACTATTTCTAATCTTTTCCTCTTGAAGACAGACTGGGAATCCAATGAAAAACATAGTAATCAAAATGTAATGATTTTATTTTGTGGCACCCTTACAGAATGGAGCAAAAATTTATATTCATCAAAAAACTTAACATTTCTCTTAGTCCTTGGAACTCTAGAAATTACCTTTTGACATTTGGATGTTAGACTAAGTATTAGACAACTGTCAGCTTTAAAAGATTATGGCTGGAAAATAAAGCTCAAGTAATTTTTATTCAGGAAAGAAAAATTCTAGCTTCTCACCTTGTATGTATTAACATTTCTCACAAAGTTTTAAGTAGGTACTAACCTCTGACCCGTGTTCCTGAAGCATCAGTCCTTTGAATCCCACCAGCCAGCACCATAGCCACAGCAAGCTTTACTAGGTACATCCCAAAAACTTGAGGGCACAAGCTAGCCAGTATTTCGTTCCTTCCTAGGAAAGGCAGAAAGGTCAGATGTTACTAACAGTTTTCATGAAATCCTATCTGAAATTTCCCTTCCTATCCTAACTTCCTATAAACATACTCTGCCATCTAAAATGATCAAGAAGACTATTTCCAAATGCCTAAAAGGAGTGAATAACTGTTTTGGCCCTAAAATTCCTCTTTATCCATGACATGATAGGAAAAATCTGCTTTTTAGTCCTTGCTATTTATTTGTAGACCTCTACTTAAGTTTCCATAAATTTATCATACTCTACACAAGGGACAGAAAGCAATCTCCTTTATCCCCTCATTAAGATAATATTATCCCTTTAAAATAACACAGCACTTCTGTGCAGTAATTCCATTGCCTAAATAAAGTGAAGGTGCTTGATCTCAAACAGTAAGTCAGATTGCAGAAACCAATAATTTTTACATACAACAGGTACTCGGAGCTCAATGGAGCTTCTTCAGAGGTGTAAGAGAAGTAAAATCAATCTACCTGTGAGTCAATTCAGCGTTTGTTCTGAACAATTTGGTTAAGTCTGTTTTACCTAGAATAAGTTACCAGGGAATCAGTATTAAAAAGATTATTATAAACTACAATTCTAGTAATCTAAGCTGGAAGTCTTGGATTCTCCTAATTATGTGCTTTTTTTTTTTAAGATTTTATTTATTTTAGAGTGCACGCATCACCACATAAGCAGGAAGGGCAGAGAGAGAGAATCTCAAGACGACTGTGCACTGAGTGTAAAGTTTGATGCAGGGCTCCATCTCCTGAGATCATGACCTAAGCCAAACCAAGAATCAGACACATAACTGACTGCACCACCCAGGTGCCCCTGGTCATGTACTTTAGATAAGAGAGTATCACTGTTTGAGTTTGTTTTCAGAAATATCAAAACATCAAATCTGAGAATCTGCCTATCCAAATATAAATTAGCTATTTCATTCAATCACTGGCCCAATCAACCAGCAGGGGCTCTTAGAACCTATAATATCCTAACAAGCCTGTCTTGAGCTTGTCTTAACTTACACGGAATTCACTGCTGTGATGGTACTCTGTATGTCTACATGCTGCCAACTAATTTGCATGTTTCAGGGACTTCCAGGTTTGTATTAATGTTTCAGAGGTAGCTCTTTTGAGGAGGAAAGTAATCGTGTAAATATTTAGCTAATTATTCCAGTTCCATAAGCTTTTCTGCCAAAGCATTAAGGGAAAGGAAAGGGGCTTCCTCCAGAATTTATGGCCTTAAACACAAGGGCTCCTTTTTGTAATGAATCAAAATTGATCCATTGGCAATACAGGCAATGATATGACCTGGGATGGCAGAAATGGTGAAGAAAGAAAACCATTTAGTAAAATGGGGATCAAAAAAAAAAAAAAAAGAATTAGTAAATCCTGGAAGGCAGTTCATTAATTACCAGAGGGAATCCTTCCCTTTTCCTGAGGTAGAAAACCCAGAGAAAAAAGATGACTATCTGGGATCTAAGCAAATAAGACCTTAACGCAGGTATGTAAATTCTGCCCAGAATCTAGGGATTAACATTACAAAGAAAGAAGGAATAGCCCCAAAAAGTAGGTTTAGGAGTAGGCAAACTGACCTGGGAGACTTATATGCCAGCTTTCCTGAATAAAGGTGGATTTAGTGACTGATATGCTGACAGAAAACATATCCCAGTGGTAAAGAGCACAGGCTCTGAAATCAGGGCCTGGATTCACATACCAGTGCTATTACTTACTACCTGTCTGACCTTGGCAAGTTTCTTAACCTCTCTGCCTCTATTTCCGTATCTGTAAAATGGTTATGATAATGGTATCTTGTAGAATTGTTGAGGATCAAAGGAGTTAATAATTGTATAGCACAGAAAAACAATACCTGACACACTTAACTGTTAAACTATTATATTACTTGTGTTACTTGTACTTATTTCTGATCTCAAGATTTTCTCACAAAAGATATACTATAAAGGCAGATCTGATACCAGAAAAAAATAAAGGGGAAGAACCATTCCCTTAAATTTGCTGTCTAAAGTTCCTTGAATCATGACAGTAGATGCTCCCATGGCTGTATCATGGAAGAGAACGCATTAGAGTGACTGCTACCCCCAACCTTATCTCGCTCCCAAATTTCTGATTCTAGACCATGTTTATAGTGTGTCTATGGCCTATTAGCCCACTCTTGTGGTATGGCCCTCAGTTACCCAATGAAGAGAACTTCCTAGATCTAAGATAACTGAGTCACCCCAAAATGGGTTCAGATAGCCCAGCCCAACAGACTCCATTGCCTACATGTGGGTTTATAACCAGCATCTAAACACCAGGGTCAGAGAATCCCTGAGGTCACTGTAGACTGGAATAAAAAAGCCTTCAGCTTCTAGACAATACCCACAGTATCAGATCTTAATGAAGCAGATCAACCTCTAAGAGCTGAGCAGTGAAGTAATCTCTGGCTTTAGACTAGCCAAATGAAGACACCCTTCTGGATACAGCTCCCCACCTTCACCATCCCCGTCTTCTTCCCTGCAACTAGTACATATATACTTTGATTGGTAAAGTACAATATACTGTGCTTGGGAAACTAAGAGCAAAATCCACTCAGACTAAAAAGAAAAATGTTGCCTCATTTTCTGTCTTAACTCATGTTTCTTACAAGTTCATTATATTTACTTCTTCCTTTTATCCAGTAAATCAGTTGTACATCCATAACTTTCTAATTAAAACAAAACAGGCTCTTTTTAATTGCCAGCACAAAGTATTTCTCATGGTCTGGTTAAAACACTGTATAATACCCTTCCTTCACTTGTTACAGGAATTAATAAGAAGTGATTGTGGTCCAAGGAAGAATCACAGATTTTTGTGAGGACCTGATCCTAAGAAACAATTTTAAATAAAAAAATTCATTTAAAAATATAAATGATTCTTAAAGGGCTTGCTTAATAAAGCCACAATGTGGAGAACTTTAGTTCCTTTTGTACAGATTAGATAAAAGAATGATCAGGAACCCCCTACATACATGCTATTTGCAGTTACAAAAAAAAAAAATCCATCCACAAAATAAAAGCAAACAATTCATAATGAGGCAAGTAAGAACCTTATTTTGTGAATTGGTATCTGTCCAGTTCAGTATTTTATTTTGTTTTAGGATGTTATTTAAGGAGAAAGAACACAAGCAGGGGCACAAGGAGAGGGAGAGAGAATCTCAAGCAGACTCTGTGCTGTGGAGCCTGATGTAGAGCTTGATCTCATGACCCTGAGATTATGACCTAAGCCAAAACCAAGAGTCAGATGCTTAAGTGACTGCACCACCCAGGTGCCCCAGTTCAGTATTTAAGAATAAAGTAATCAATATGAGTGAGACTTGAGGTGAAGTTTATTACAAATAGTCTATCACTGACTTGTTTAATTTTCTCAGAAGATGCCTCCAAGGAAGAATGAAAACAGACATTTAAAGATTTAACTGGTATTATACCTTTGGAATTTTTAAATAAAAAATAGTCCATGAACCCAAAAGCTATGATGTTTTAGTCTACATATTTTAGTGCCATAGTTCTGTTTTTGCTGTGATGACAAAGCTTATTTTTTGCATCTTTCTATCTCTCATCTCTTTCCTACTGATTGCATACTTCAAAATCTTTAGCTAAGGGATGCCTGGGTGGCTCAGTGGCTGAGCATCTGCCTTTGGCTCAGGTCATGATCCTAGGGTCCTGGGATGGAGTCCTACATCAGGCTCCCCACAGGGAACGTGCTTCTCCCTCTGCCTAGTTCTCTGCCCCTCTCTATGTGTCTCTCATGAATAAATAAGTAAAATCTCTTTTAAAAAAATCTTTAGCTAAAATAGGGTGAAGTTGTCTTTATTATCTAAGTATATCAGAAAAGGAATAAAGCTTTAATAGAATTAGGTTTCATAGTAGGATGTGTTTTGCCTATGTATGGATGAATTGTATATTTGATTGGTTAAGGGAGAAAACTGGCAGTACAAGAGACATCTAAAATAACAGAAGTGGAAGATGGCTTGTAATCCAGCCTTGATTTTCCAAAAAGATTTATAACTGAAAAGATTATACCAGAAAAGGGCTCTTCAAAAGGAAACTATGGCTACAAGTACTGATGAATTCTGCCACCCTTTGAATTCAGCCATTGAGTTTTGCAGCATGTAAGGCCCCTCCTAATCACAGACCTCATATTTAACTACTGAATGAAATGCCATTAAATCACAAACCTGCAAAGGGATCACTCTTATAGGATTCCCAAAAATCTTCAAATTCCTTTTGGACCTCCTCATCCATGACGATTCCCGCAGACTGCTCATTATTTACTTGGACGTAATTGGCTTTTAAGACTATCTCCACTTCACAGCGCACATCTTGCTGAAAGGGCTTCCACTGTTGCATTACGACTCCGTAAATAGTGAGATCATCACCTAGGGAAGAGCACCAAGTAGCAGCAAAGTCCAGGAGTAGCATACTGCTTGCTGGGCACAGGCTTGCATGGCAAAAATCCGGAAATAAATAAACCACTCTCCTACACTCAATGAATGGTAAACACTCATCTAGAAAACAATCTGGAGGCAAAGGAACACCACAGATTTCCTACTTTTTCTTTCTTCTTCTTCTTTTTTTTTTTTTTTTGGTACAGGCACTTATATCTGCATAGCCAAAAGCTAAAGTCGGCATTTTTATTTTTCTTAATCTGCACCATGATAATCATACCAGATTATCACCCTTCACTGGAAAAATAACTTATTGGATGATTTATTCATTCTTACTATATTGGATGAAATGTCCATCCTCTCATAATCCCTAACCATACAGTTCTCATTTAAAGAATAAGCAGGAGCTACAGCTAGAAGGTTAGACTATGATCAGTTTGATATCAGGAAAGGAGAGGAGACAGTCATGTGATAACTGACACTAGTTTTAGTTTCTTACATATTAGTTTTTACTTATCACCTTTACTGATATTTTACTTATTGCCTAAAAAAAACCCAGATGAATGAACTAAGAAATAAGTAAATGCCTGTTCTACTTCAAAGCCCTTTTCCATAAACTATGAAAACAGAAGATAAATACTGCCTGTTCCTTCTTGGTTTCTTCCCACCTAAAGAAACTCTCCTATTCCTAGGGAGAATATTTAACTTCTACAGGTTTTCCTAAGAGGTCTTGGGTAGTTTATGGGCACATTCTCCAAACACTTAACATCTGTGATTATTACATACAATTCAGTGCATCAATTAACGGGAATATATGAATGAATGGTTGGCATTCAGTATTTTGGTGTTAGAGAAAAGGGAGCCCCAAGAAGAAAAGATGGTCCTAGTTCTCAAAATCTTGTTGAATAGAAGATGTTGGACATACCCCAAATCCAATCTGGTGTTTATAATTTGTGCAACAAACAGCATCTCTGAACTGACAAGTCTTCACATCCAAGCTTGTGTCAAATACATGATATTTGCTGATGCAAAATGCCTCTCTAAATATCAATAGCAATGTATAATCTGCAGAACTTTTGATTTTCTGAAGAAAAACATTCTGTAAATGCTAAACGCATGAAGAAACTGGTGGTAGCAATTACAGGATAGAAAGATTTCTAGCCAGAAGCAACTTTGTAACAAATGGTGACAAATTCAGTAGGTGCTCTGCATGTGTTTTCAAGATCTTTGGAAGACACTGCTTGGATGGTTTTCAAACCAAATCAAGATAGTGATCATTTACTATATTGTTTGCCCCCCATTTTTAGATGAAAACAACTGGGGTAACCTTTCTATGAGCCCTTAGAACAGTCCTTTACTGTCATTTTAATGGATTATACTTGTTTCTGAATTAGTCAAATAAGAAACAACCTTTAGATACAGCACCCACAAATAATCTGACTTGTGATAATATGGAAATGTAGAGTACTGAAGAATGGCCAAGAGCACTGATCTCCTCAGATTTGGGTTCAGATCCCAGCTCCACAATTCACTTGTTTATATCCTTGGGCAAATTATCTAAATTTGCTGACCCTATGCTTTGACCTACAATAATGGGAATAGTTATATCACGGAACCACAGTGAAAATTAAGTCAGATGATGTTTGTAAATTACTTCATACAATATGTAGAATATAAGAAGCACTCAACAGCTAAATATTAGCTGTTACTATACTTTAATTTTTCTGTAGTAAAAGTTATAAACAATGTTATTTGCAGGAAGCTAAGATTTTTGCTTTTATATAATCTTATCTCTTTGTCCTGCTCTGTCTTCGGCAGCTTATTTACCACTCAGCTACCCACATTCGGACCCACTTCTGATCTCCTGCTGCACTGGCAGTTATCAGGACACAACCTCCAACTTTATTACTCTGCATGTGTCAGACTGGGGTTCCCAACCAGACTGTAAATTCCTGAAGGGCAAGGATTATGCCATTTATCTTTTGATTCCCACAGAGGTTTGTAGCTATGGATAAATGAAAAAAGCACCGTTGACATACTGCTTCCACCCATTATTATTAGTGACATGTGAAAGAAAAATAGCTTTAGATTTTTCACTGAAGAATTCAGTTTAGATGAACTGCATAAAAACATCTTATTTTCCAACAAAGGGTACTTTCATGTTCAGGCTAAGCTTATATAAGCACTACTTTGCTGATCCACATATCATAGGTTTTGATTAAAATCTAGAGTCCTATATGAAAAAAGTACTTTACACAGCCTGGTCCATTCAGCAGGCAATCCACGATCACAGTTATTTTCATGGAGAATCATTTAGACAATGATAAACTGTTAATATATATATAATAAATATATTATATATGTATAAACTGTTAATATATTTGATATTATAAATTTCAAACTATGGGTTGGTGATTCTTGGGTGGATGGGGGCAGTCTTGGTTCTAGATAATGAACTCTTACTTCCATAGGTGTTTGCCTCATCATTTATTTTTTAAAGATTTCATTTATTTATTCATAGACACAGAAAGAGAGAGCAGAGACACAGACAGAAGGAGAAGCAGGCTCCATGCAGGGAGCCCGACGTGGGACTCGATCCCGGGTCTCCAGGACCACACCCCAGGCTGCAGGTGGCGCCAAACCCCTGCGCCACCGGGGCTGCCCTTGCCTCATCATTTTAATGAAATGGTAGCTCAGTAAATATTTCATAAATGAGGCATCTGGAAAAATCTAGTTAGAAAAGGAAACGATGGAATTTGGAGAAATTTTCTGTCTGGTAGGCGAGAACAGGGATGCAGAGTAAGAGGTTAGATATACCTGTTTCTGCCAGGGGACACATTTGTGCTTTGTGTTTTCTATACAGATTAAGGGTGAGTGAGATTAAGGTGTGAGTGAGAACAGGAAATACTTTATAGCAGGGAATGTTGAGGTGAATTAAGAAACAACTGTTGATGCTTAGTTTAAGATTACCAACCATTTCCACTTTCTGACCCACCTTCAATGAAATTTAAATGTTAAATAGCAACTGGAAATTCCTAGGGAAATAGTGAAAGCAACCGTTTTAAAGTTACTTGGAATAAGAAGAGAGAAAGAATAAGCTCTCATATCTTTTTCACAGACAAAGGTCGGTCAAGGACTGGGGATGTGTATTGGAAGCAGAACATGCTGGCTTCAGGGGAACAGGTTGTCATCTGTCTTTTCTAGGGGTAGAAAGAGTAGCTTCAGAGAAGCTGACTCAAGTTTTGCAGTTCTAGACAACCTTTTTTGGATCAAAGTTCTGTAAATCCAAAAGACTTTTAAACTCCATACTAGAGTCTTTAGTGCCTGTCAATTCTGGTAAAAGTTTCTGATTAACTTTCAGATTATTACTTTGAAGGCAATCTGCTTGGTGTCTGAGATCTTTACTGTTAGCTGACCAATGCGCCATGTAAATTTTATAGCCCTAACCCCTACCAACAACTGAAAAAAGCTCCCTTTATTCTCTTATTCTTTTTGCATTATATATGTAAAATAACACCATCACATTGGTTTAAAAAACACACCAAATTTTATTAATACCTCACAATATTTAAATGTTACTGCAGAGACAGAATAGTATTTACTCTCCTGAGCAACACTGATTTACAAAACCTCCCAACATCTTAATTTTTCTTTCTTTTTTTTAAAAAAGATTTTATTTTATTTTATTTATTTATTTATTTATTTTTTGAGAGAGAGAAGGGAAAGGGGGAGAGGAAGGCAGAGAGAACATGAGAGAGAGAGCACACAAGCAGAGGGAGGGAGAAGTAGACTACCACTGAGCAGGGAGCCTGATGTGGGGCTCAATCTCAGGACCCTGGGATCATGACCTGAGCCAAAGGCAGACGCTTAACAGACTGAGCCACTCAGGCACCCCACATCTTAATTTTTCCAATAAAATTCTTCCTTACCACTTTTGTAAAAATAATTTAAAAATTCAATGCAGAACACTTCTATACATAGAAGCTGATATTAATCCTTGCCCTTCCACGGGACTCTTTTTTTTTTTTTCCAGATTTCATTTATTTATTCTAGAGAAAGAAAGAGAGAGCACAAGCAAGGAGCGGAACAGAGGGGTAGGGAGAAGATAATCTCTAGCAGATTCCACCCTGAGTGCAGAGCCCAATTTGGGGCTCAATCCCACAACTGTGAGATCATGGCCTGAGCTGAAACCAACAGTCAGATACTCAACTGACTGAGTCACACAGGCTCTCTTTCCACAGATACTTTTGATTCCTTCTCCCCGGTGAGAAGAGAATAGGCAGGGCAAGATGAGTTGAGATGGGGCAAAAGAGAGCTAATGAGCTGTCTAGTCAGCCTCAAGATCAAAATATAACCAAGAATGACATCATAATAACCCCTTCTGGAGCCCTCAGATCTCCAGAACGGCTCTGAAGCTCAGAGTCTTTGACTTGTCTACAACATTGTAATCATCCAGACCAACCGCCATCATAAGGCATAAGTCACTAACAAGATGCTGTATACCCTCTGCTTGATTGTCTCTGAAAAAAGAAACTCAACCATTATCTGTGTTCCGTGGTGGACACCTTATATTATTAGATATGGAGTCAAAATCTACCTTCTGGAGCTTCAGCCTACTGAAACCCAATAGTATCTTCTGTAACTATAATTCCATCTCTGTATGACAACCTTCCAATTAATGAAAAGTTGGCTGTCATGTCCTTCCTGAGGCTTCTCTGTGATAAATACCCACAGTTCTTTTCAGTATGGTTTTAAGTTCCTTTCAATTTGGGCAATTGGCCAATGAAAACACTGAGAACCCTCAGAGGACAAAATCAGTGTGACTCCGGTAGTGCCGTCACCAGCACAGAGGAAAGAACAATCACTTCCTTTCTTCTAGGTAGCAATAAGAGTACAAGAGCATCTGAGAGAGTCATACGTCTGATCCATTTTACTTAATTCCTCACTAAATCTGCTACAATCTTTAAAGCTGCTGCTGTTTTAGGCAAGCATATACCGAAGAGACTCCTGGATGAAAAGTCAGAGGACTTGGGTTCATGTTCTAGTTCTGCCCCTTATTCTCCAAGTGACCTTGGGCAAGTCAAGTTCTGCATTTACAAAACAAGTGGCTGAACTGGACTGCTAAGCTACTGGCCCAGCTTCTTCCCTGTTATGTATCACCTCCTGCCTCTATGCCAGTTTCTATTCTCAAGGTGAGCAATTAAGCCTCCACAGTCATTTCCCAGTGCTCTTGGGAAAATAAAAAGTGGCTTTTTCCTAATCAGCACTTTAGGACATCTTACATAAGTTAGCAAAAGTTAATTCTCACCAGATTTGCAACTGTCTACTAAATCATCTTCCAGGATAACCTTCATAGATCGTGGAATACTTCCAACAGACAGCCTTTGTACCTGGCAAGGAAAAGCAGATACATTCTGAGTATGCTTAAATACATGCTAAGTATTCAGAAGCTAGCAGTTCTTGAAATTAGTTTTCTATTTCCCTGGTATTATCATACAATTCAATTATGATGGGGATTTACAGAATTTTCTTGAAAACTGTGCCTACTATCCATTTATAAACTAAAACTAGAGTAAAATAAAAACACCATTACAGAAAATATCTCGAAATGTAATCTACCTTGTAGATGGTCAAAATAAACGTATACTCCATGATTAAGTAGAATAACAAAATTACTTATCTAGACAAGACATGTAGTTCTTTCCTGTGCAGTCGTAAGACCTAGGACAAATCACTGTTCCTTAGTGACAGAACCCTGGTTTTAGTCCATGTGGACATGTACCCAGTAAAAAGACTGTATTTCCCAGGCTACTCTGCCCCTGGGTATACTCATATGGTCCTATGACTAAGCTCTGGACGAAGAAATACAAGTAGACCTGCCCGGGAAGACTTCAAGGAAGACTACTCAAATGGAGACTTGGGGTAGATGACTGATGCTCTCATCTGTCCTTCCCTCTCCCTGCTCCTTGACTAGCATACAGCAGTGACAGAGTTGTAAACTACCATCCTGGACTAAGAATAGAGGCCATGTGTTAAGAATGGTGTAGAAAGATAGGAGTTTGAGTCCTCAACACTGAATATGCCTTTAAGTAGCAAGTAAAGGAAAAGCTGGCATACTCTCAGTGTTAAAGTGTCTATGTATGTCTCATTTGACACGGCATATAAAATCAGGCCTAAACCCCAAATCCTGACCACTCTAATGTTTAATAATCACTTAAACCCATTTAATTTTTTTCTCCTATCCCTTAAATACAGCTTATCTGAACTTCTTAAATATTCCCTTAATTTTAACATAATTATTAAGCCATTCTACAACCCTCTCACCAATGTTCTCTATACAGAGATGATTAGGGGGCTTGATGGGATGAGCACTGGGTGTTATGCTATATGTTGGCAAATCGAACTCCAATAAAAAAATATACAAAAATAAATAAAATAAAAAAAATTGCATGACTCTAAAGACTGTATTCTGATGTATGGGCAACACACATCCCATGTGTAATCCTGTATGCGTTCCCTATCCTGGTAATTTGCCCAGAGCTAAAAAGGTTGACCTTCAGCTTCTTCAAAGTTGGTTTTGTTTTTTCATTTGATCATTTACCTGTTCCTGAATTTTGATTTCCTGATAATCTCTACACCTCGCTGGAGATGAAGACAAGCCTGAGAGGCAAGTGAATTTGGAAGAATCACAGCCCTCCAAGCTCGGGCAGGAGGACGGCTGGCAGAAGGTATAGTACTGCTCAAAGTCAGCCTTGACCACAAATACATGTTTGCATTTCTTACACATGTAATCCCGCTCAAATTCCAGGATCTTCACCAGACTTGTTCGAATCACTGTCCCAGTGACAGATAAAAAGTGTCCCACATCTTTGGTTTTAGGGATGTGCTCCCTCACCAGCTCAGGACAAACAGGCAAACCTGATGGAGAAAAACAACAACAAAACCATATCAACTTATTATCTTGGAATTTGACTCCATGGAATATATTCTTCTTATATTTCCTGGCAGAGAAGGTATAATTTCAGGAAAAAAAAAAATTGAGTTTGACTTAAGAAAAAAGAAATCAGATCAACTCAATTAAGAAAATAGAAAAGGATTTTTTAAATAAAGATGATCAGTGGACTCTTTTTAAAAGTACATATCCAGATGACATAATATAACCAGGATTAAAAGAAAAAAAAAAAAGGACTGATTTTCATTAAAAGGGCTGAATAGAATCTAAATACAGTAATTGTAACCTCATTCAACAAAAAAACATACTGCCACATGCAACACATAAAATCAATTGATGACTGAATAAACCACAAAGCTAACTGATAAAGGGAGGGTAGCATAATGACAGAGCCCCACAGTGCTAGAAGGCTATTCCTTTTTTAGGTTCAGAATTCATTAATACATAAATCTATTTCCAAGCCTTGATTACCTAGAGGTTTAACCACAGCAGCACCATTTTATCCCTTAAAAAACATGTTTTTCACCATTAATAAACAGGAAACTTCTTAAAAGGTACAAAATACCAAAGCAAGGAGCTCAATGGGGGAGACTGACCCCAGGACCCTGGGATCATGACCTGAGTGGAAGGCAGATGCTCAACTGAGCCCCCCAGGTATCCCCCACTTACTGCAATTTATAAATTCCAGAGAATCAGGATTGAGGTAGATTTTATTCACCACTCTTATTAGAGTAAAGCACCATGCTTTAGAAGATACTTGAGAGAAAGACGAAAGGCAAGGCTACAAAGTGGGGGGATAGATATGAGAGATTAAGGATACTGTGTTAGCTTTGAGATCAATTAGAGATAAGGGATGAAGAGGAGGGTGAAATTTAGAGTGACTCTCAGTTCTCTGGTTCCATTAACAAGAAATTCTGCAAGCTACATAGTAATCAATCAGTAAATACCTATTGAAAGAAAAAGGAAATACCACTTTTGGTTGGAGTGGGGCACAGAGAGTAAAATCATTACACTTTTCAATCACTGAATTTTCAAGAAGAGATTTAGTATGAGACATTTGATAAGCATGGTGATATTTGGATACAGAGCTTAAGAGACAGATTCTAGCTAAAATTAAGAAAAAAAATAGAGTTGGCATTTGTTTCTACATAGGTGGCAGCTGAAGCTCAGGTTTGGGATAGAGACCACCCTATGAGAGTGTAGGATCCAGGAGAATGTGACCACATCTGAATCCTAAGGAACCTACCTACCACCTACAGGTCAAGTAAAGGAAGAGGCGGCGCCTAAGAAGAGGGAGAGAAGCCACAGCCAGAAAGGGAGGAAAGAGCAAGAGAGTGCTGTCCATGGGGCCAACACTGGAATTTTATAAGGTGGGAGGAGTCAATAGTATCAAACTCAGCAGGGAAATGAAGTGAAATACTGAAAAGTGACCCTCAGTTTGGCCATGAGGCTGTCACTAGTGATGATGGCAAGGGCGGTTTCAGTATGGTGGACGTGAAAGGATGAATAGGAGATTACCATGAAGATTGGATATACTCTGTCAGAACATTTACTTATGAAAAGAACAGTGGATGAAGGGGGACTGAGGGTTGAAAGAGATCTTTCTCCTTCTACAAAATGGGAGAAACCTGAAAGAGAAAATTCAGATAGAATTGCCAAAAGCATTCACAGTCTAACCTACCACCACCCCATAGAGTCCATGCTCCCCCAGGGGTTTGGCCTGATTGGTGACTGACTTTAGAGCACATAGTTTACCCACCTCCCTACCTTGGTCACTTACTCCATCCTAACTGACCTTAGGATGCGGGGTAATGTCTCATGTAAATCAAGGTTTTAATTATGGGATATGGCTGAGCTTTAGGAAAGCTCTAAATCTCTTGAAATTCAGGTACAAGGTTATGTATATACACATACCTGTACTTTCTGGAGAGGGTCCATAACCTTCTCAACAAAAAACCCTGAAGAACTTATTTAAATACTCAGTCCCATAGTTCTATTGGCTTGCATGACTCCAAGAACAGAAGAAACTTACATTGTGGAAACAGTTACTAAATCTTCCTCCCTTCCCCTAATTTAATAGTAATGCCCTAATCTCTCATATCTCTATTCATATCCCTGGTCTTAGCTCACATTCTACAAGGCTTCCTCCAAATGCTTTAGCATGACAGTGACTTTCATCATCACCTACTGACTGTACTGCTCATTTATGGCCTTAATCACATAATGCTTTGCATTGTTCCTTGAACACTTGATATGTGGGTAGGAGACTCACTTCTTGAGATCCTTTTTATGCCTCTCTCTGCCTAGCCCAGTGCTTTAATAAGTACTTTCCCATAAGGAGAAAATTAATGAATAAATGAGACAGGGGAATGGCCTTCCCTCTCTCTCTAGCCTCACCTTTAGCAAATGTGGCCTCAAATTTCCCAGTCCAGAACAAAATGCTTGATTTTTCTGTGCAGAGATGGACTTTACACCTCCGTACCTTTCCTTAGGCACTTTACTTGGTCTGGCAAACTCTCTCCAGTTCACTCAGCCAGGAAAGTACATTTGAGTTTTCCTTTCTACAAGAAAACTTCCCCAAGCCCAGGCTAGCACCCACAACAAAACAAATGGAGTAAGCAAGCAAAATGGTCAAATGAATATGCCATTGTATAAATAATGCCTTTTATGTCTAGAGAAATCTACTGCCAGAGTAAAAACGAAGGTTCGAGAGACACCCATCCATTCCTTGCAAATGATAACCCTGGCCGATGCAAGCTGGGTCATGGCAAGTCTACACAAACTGGTTTTATTTCAGTCAACATAAGGAGATGTGCTGGAGAGATATTACACACTTGCGAAGAAGGCAGGTGGGAGGTGGAGGAAGGTAGGACTCAGTTCCAAGGGTCTCACATATGCTCACCAACCCTTTCTGTGTTATTCTAGAAGTGTAGCCAGGATGAATGAACTCCCTGCTGCTCACCCCCAGCAACGGTCCTATGTCTAACACAAGTACAATGTCTCTGAAGGAAAAACTATGTAAAGATTACAACCAAATTTTCTAAGAAAACCTGCTTTCAATTATCCTCTCTACTTTTACAATACAGGGCAATATATCACTTTTAATGTTCTTGACTGGAAACAAAAGAGCAATTTACATTTTACTGAATCATGTACATAGTACCTGTTAGGAGAAATTTGCTTTTTTTTTTTTTTTTTTTGAGCAAATGTGTCTAACATATGACAGATTAAGTGATTATTTTGTTTTTGTTTTTTTTTTAGGTGATTATTTTGTAAAGTAACTGTATTAAAAAGATAATAAAGGTGAGTATATTTCTGGGTCATCAGATTCTTTTCATTTCAGAACATTATGATTTTTAGATAAACAAAATATAAAGGCAACAAAATGTTAGCAAAACGGACCATATAACAATCAAAATTTTAATACTAAAAAGATACTAAGAGACAATGTTTTGATGGAAATGTCAGTGTATGTTAATCTTTCTGTCTTACTATCTATGTTACTAAGTATGTTCTTCAACTATACCAGTGAAGGGGTGGTGGTAGTGGAGTGTGGCGGACATCAGGTGCTAAGCCACCATTAGTGAACACAAAAACCTTTACCATTCCCTGATTCATTCAATGATCAAGAACAAAAAGAAATTTTGGAAATAGTTTGTGATCTGTCCATATCTATGCTAGTGATATGTCCATATCAATGATTTTAGGCCCCTGGTTTTCAGCATGTAGTTCCTGGAACAGCAGCATCAGCATCACCTGGGAGCTGTTAGAAATGCAAATTATTGGGCCCCAGGCCAGACTTTCACAATTAGCATCTCTTGTGGGTGGGGCCTGTCAGTGTTTTAACAAGCCCTACAGTTGATTCTGATTGCCATTAATGTTTGAGAACACATGAATGCTACTTTTTCCTTCTCATTTAGTTTGATGCTATCTGGGTATTAGAACACCTTTCATCAAAACCACGGAAAAGGTAAGTAAACTTTAGTCTAATAAAAATCCCAGAAGAGAAAGAGCAATGTATATCCTAGAAAGACAACTGGAAAATGTCTTAGGTTCCTAAGGAGCCTGAATCACAGAGGCAACCTATGTTTTCATAATTGAATGCCTTGCCTGGAGTCCATGATGAAGGTGCAATATAACTAAAACCAGATTATTTCCATCCCTGGTTCATTCTGCCTGGGACACCTCTATCCTTGCCTTACCCTCTCTTCTTGAAATCTCCAGTGAATCTGCTAGAATTCATTCCCTCTTCTGCTAGCACATATCCTGAGTGAGGCACAAATCATATAACATAAAAGCTGCCACTAAGCTCCTTTATTATTAAGTTTAATATACAATAGGCCATGTATCTTTGGGCATACATACACCAATTGTTAAATATTTGACATAATATGTTTGTAGGATGAATATACCATGGTAGTAACATAATTTGTAATTTACTTTTTCAGAGAAGAATTGGGGGAAAAAAATAGGCTAAATTTACCCAAAACCAATAGGGTCACCTAGGCAGGCAAAATTTTGGTATTTAAACTGAACATGGAAAAATATCTAAACATAAGGATAAGGACAGCCTAAAACCATTCCTAAGTGCCATTTCAATAACATTAACTAAACCCTCTTTTAACAACATTTTTGCAACATTATTATAAGGAAACATTTAGGGATCCCTGGGTGGCGCAGCGGTTTGGCGCCTGCCTTTGGCCCAGGGCGCGATCCTGGAGACCCGGGATTGAATCCCATGTCGGGCTCCCGGTGCATGGAGCCTGCTTCTCCCTCTGCCTCTGTCTCTGCCTCTCTCTCTCTCTCTCTCTGTGTGACTATCATAAATAAATAAAAATTAAAAAAAAAAAAACAAGTGTTCCTTAAAAAAAAAAATAAGGAAACATTTATTCTTGATCCTACCAAGAGATGATCTAGTGTCCTGTCGCTTAAAGATTTATAATATTCATAATTTTATTCTAGATAAAATACTACTTTTTTTCAATGAAATCAAATGTATGGTCTTTTGAGGGATCTTAATTGGTCCCCAAAGAGTTGTACTATACTGATTCATCTTTTTGGAATCATAAAAAGCATTTTTGTTGATTACAAATCCCCACCTTTCTGAAATTACTATATATATTTTTGACATGTTCTATATTTTTAAACAAAATGATATATGTGTTCTCCAACTTAATCTGCAGTAATTCAAAGATAGAGCTTTGCTACAAGCTGACTGCTCCACTGGAGCATCTAAAAATTAAGGTACTTACTCTGTCATTCATTCAACAAAAATTGAGTGCCTAATAGGTGGCCAGCATAATGCTAAACTTGATATATAAAAACAATAAATTCCCTAAAATAGTTTTGAAGATTACAGGGTAGAATCTACCACTTTTCAAGTTCTTTGTGGTATCATTTTTTTTGTTAGTAGTTCAAAAACTTCTGAATTACAATTTTATACACACATACCCATGTGTGTATATGTGCATATTAACATACTGTCACCTACATTCTCTTTCCCCTCAGATGGAATGGCTAGTATCCCAGCCTTCCAAAGGTCCAGAGGAAACAGTTTAAAACCATTACTTTGCTCTAAAAGTGACCATCAACTATATAGTAGATATATTTTTAAGTATAAATATCAATTATTTCTTAGTGCTCTGAATTCAGTGTGTTAGAATCTCTTCAAACATTCCTGGAGAGTAAGTGGCAGTAAAATCCGTAAGTGATTCACCTGATATCCGGGCATGAAGATTCTGCTTCATAGAGGCACCCTCAGGCTGAGAAAGGGACTGGAGAATTGTCAAGGCTGATCTTCGCAGAGCACTATCAAACACTGTTAGTACTTCATTCGGGAATGCATTGAAATATTCCCCAATTTCCATGTTGGTTTCAAAAAGGGTCATGGCATTAACCACAACTGGATAATGAGCATCTTCATCTCTTTCCTTCAAGATTAGAAGAATATCATTCTTATGGTATTCCGAAACATAGGACTCAAACACTTGACCAACCAGTGTGACTTGATCACTATTCATCTTGAATCTAGGTGACTAAAGAAAAAGACTATATTATATCTCTGATATTGCAGACTTAGACAAAAATTAACAAAAAAGATTGGCCGTATACTTTTGATATAGCAGACTCAGACAAGTTAAAAAAAAAAAAAGTCTGACTGTAAATTGTTATGGGTCCCACCATAAACTGAAAATATTATCTGAATTGAACTCTTAATTAGATCTGCATTACTTGTTATAATCACTTAGTAAATGTATTTTTTAAGAAAGGGAAGTCAAACCAAAGAATTATGTTGGTACTGATCACTGAAATCCACATGGTCCAATGCCTTTTCCGTATCTCTTCCCCAAACTTCCTCATTAACCCTATGATATGTTATGTAAAAGGCCCTTCTCTTTTCTTTAACCACACTCTATATACACATTTGCTCTCAAGTGTAAAATCTTAAACAGCAGTCTTTTGGCTAAAGTTTCTTCCAGTAGACTTCTTTGCATGTGTCCAGATTCTAGGTTTTATCCAAAGAACGTATCTTCGCCTCTCTCTTTGACTCTCGCTCATCACACATATTCATGTGTTTTCTGCTACATAAATGGAACATACATGGATAGCCAGTTCTGACTTGAATAGCTAACAAATTGCTTCTGAAATTTACATTTTGAGGTGAATTTGCTTCCCATTTTCTCTATGTAACCTAGGAAACCTTTGGCCTTAGCAAAAACAGCTGTCAAAGAGTATAAACTAGATAATTAAACTGAAGGAAAGGAAATAAATGATAACTAGGATTGAAAGTAAACATATTATTTTTTAAAATTTATTTATTCATGAGAGACACACAGAGAGAGAGAGAGGCAGAGACACAGACTCAGGGAGAAACAGGCTCCATGCAGGGGGCCCGATGTGGGACTCGATCCTAGGTCTCCAGGACCATGCCTGCCACTGAAGGCGGTGCTAAACCGCTGAGCCACCGGGGGCTGCCTGAAAGTAAACATATCATATTGTATTCACCTCTCATTCCCCTAGTAATATATATATGTGTGTGTATTTTTAAATTTTCACCTACAGATTAAAAGGGCCGAGCTTCATTCTACTTTCATGTACACAGACATCAATCATGTTCAGGGTACTATTTTGGGAAATAAAAAGCACAATAAAATATCCTTAATAGCCTCAGAGAAAAACCAAGGGCCAGATGAAATGAAACAGTGCCCTAACAGTGGTAAAAATGCAATATGAATAGGAGCACAAAGGAGAGAAGGATTAAATTTAAGTGGATTGACAATCCCAGATGTGGCAATGGGCAGTTCCAAATAAACTGCTGAAATCAATCATCTAAGAAACTCTTACTTGGGTTGGAAACAGAAACTGGAGGACAAACGTACTTTGACTTATTTATTTTGACTTACTTCATTCAACCAAGAGTTTTGTATTCAGTTCAACAAACGGGTGATAAAAGACTTACAAAGTTCACATTTCCGCATCCTAACTACATGTTACAAAGGCTACTTATTAGCAATATTTTGCCTTTTCTGGGAACCAACTATTGGAGAAGATGTGGAAGGAGTAAAGGGGGGGTATGTATCATAGACCAAGAAGTCTCACAGTTACAGGATGCCAGTGTGAGCCTGACAGACCAGTATGTGTATATCCGGAGAAGTGAGAGAGAGCAAATTACGGCCACTGCATTGATAAGTAAATTGTTCTGATTAGATAACATAAATCCAACCAAGCGTAGAGCAGAAAAACTACTTAGAAATAAGTAATCAGGGGAATCCCTGGATGGCTCAGCGGTTTGGCGCCTGCCTTGGGCCCAGCGCGTGATCCTGGAGTCTCAGGATCGAGTCCCACGTCGGGCTCCCTGCATGGAGCCTGCTTCTCCCTCTGCCTCTCTCTCTGTGTGACTCTAATAAATAAATAAAATATTAAAAAATGAAAAAGAAAACCTAACCGGACTCCCAAGAGTTGCTGCTACAAGAGACTCTCGAAGGTTCTATAAATGCATAGTAAATTCGGAGCCCCAAGTTTAGCAACTTAAAAGACAGCTCCACATGGGGCAGAAACGGGGGTGTGTGTGGCTGCAGAATTCGTGGCTCAAGCTAAAGCCAGATTACATTCGCCTACGGCTTTCTGAAAGGGAAGCTTTAAAAAAAAAAAAAAAAGATTCCCTTTCAAAAATCTGTGTACAAGCGCTCCTAGCCCCAAGAACACGCCCCCCTACGGTCGTACAACTGCTCTGAAGCTCCCCGTCCTTTCACTCGTGGAGCTTCCGAGCCGGAACCGCGAGGACGAGCGAGCGGCTGCGGCTTCGGGGCCACCTGAGGCGCCCACCGGGCCCCGAGGCGACCCCAGCCGGAGCACCGCGCGCCCCCCGCCGGGCGCCCGCCGCAGCCCCGGGCCACGCCCCCTGCCGCTCGCCGGCGGCCCGCGTCTCTCGGGCGCCGCCTTCCCGCCCGCCCGCCCGCCCGCCCGCCCGGCTCCCCGCGGGCGCTCGGCGGACGGAGCAGGCTCGCCCTCGGAGGGGGCGGCTCTCCGCGCTTCGGCCTCGGGACGCGCGCGGCCCCCGCCCGGCCGGCCCCCGGCAGGGCCCTGACGGGCAGCGCGGCCGCCCCAGCCACCCCCGAGTTGAGGAGTTTGGGAACTACCCAGATGTGGGCGACACTCGGGACCGGCTGCGGGAGGGCCGGAACGGCGGGGACGCCGACTCGGGGCCGCGGCTGTCACTTACTGGCGGAGACGCAGTGTCGGCGGGCACCGGGAACACGGCGCGCCCGAGGCCGACGGGCGCCCAGGGCTCGGGCCTGGCGCCGGGGGCTCCCGGAGGCCGCTGGGGGCGGGGCGGGGCGGGCCGCGGGGGCGCGCAGGCTCCGACGGGGCCGCCTCGCGCCCGAGCGAACTAGGCGCCGCGCCGGCTCCTCGGCCGGGCCCGCGTCCCCGACGGACGCCGAGCCGCGCGCCGCCTCAACTTCGCCGCTCAGGCGGCTCTTCCGGGTGGAGGGGCGGGCGGGCGGGCGCGCGCTCCGCCTGGGGCCGCGGGACGCGAGGGGGCGGGGCCGGGGCGGGACCCGAGGACTTCCGGGGCGGGGCCAGGCCGCGCCTCCCGCGCAGGTGGAACCGGAGGACACGGGCTGACCGTGCGGTGGCTCACAGGTGGCCTGTGCGGTTCCCGCTTTTGGTCCTGGAACTCCGGCAGACGCAGGGTGGCAAGGGGTTTCTGCTGTGTTTTCTTCTAGAAGTTTTAGGAGGACGGTACGGAGTTCCCATATACCCCGCCCCCCGCCCCGTAAACCGAATTCCCCGCACGCCCAGGGGCAACATACTTTCCCCGGAGGGGAGCCTTCGTTACTACCGGGGAGCGCGTATTGAGATCATCCCCCAGAGTTCGTGGTTCTTCGCAGTCTCGTTCACTCGTGGTGGTGTACCTCCTATGGGTTTTAACAGACGCGGCGTAGTAACAGGTACGTAGTGACGGTAACAGGTACCTGCGTAACAGGTACACAGCGCGGTGGTCGGGTAACGCAGAAGACTTTCACTGCCCTGAAAAGCTGCTGTCTCCATCCCTCTCTCTCACCGCATCTCTAGCAACGGCTCATCTTTTTTACCGTTTCCATCGTTTTTCCTTTTGCAGGATGTCATATATAATTGACTCAAATAGCAGGTTTGAACTGTAGGGTTCCACTTACACATTTTTTTTTACAGTACTGTAAATAGATTTTTCATGATTTTTTAATTTTTAAAAATTTTTAAAATATTTATTCACTTGAGACACGGAGATACCGAGAGAGAACGTGAGAGCAGAGGGAGAGGGAAAAGCAGACTCCCCACTGAGCAGGGAGCCCGACGTGGGGCTCGGTCCCAGGACTCCGGATCGTGACCTGAGCTGAAGCCAGACTCTCAACCATCTGAGCCACCCAGGAGCCCCTCTTTCCTTTTTTTTTTTTTTTTAATATATATTTTATTTGTTTATGAGAGACACACACAGAGAGAGAGTCAGAGACACAGGCAGGGGGAGAAGCAGTCCCCATGCAGGGAGCCCAACGTGGGACTCTTATCCCTGGACTCCAGGATCACGCCCTGGGCTGAAGGCAGCGCCAAACCGCTGAGCCACCCAGGCTGCCCCCCTCTTTCCTTTTTTTAAAGATTTATTTAAGAAATCTCTATACCCCGGGGATCCCTGGGTGGCGCAGCGGTTTGGCGCCTGCCTTTGGCCCAGGGCGCGATCCTGGAGACCTGGGATCGAATCCCACGTCGGCCTCCCGGTGCATGGAGCCTGCTTCTCCCTCTGCCTGTGCCTCTCTCCCTCTCCCTCTCTCTCTCTCTCTCTCTCTCTCTCTCTCTCTCTCTCTGTGACTATCATAAATAAATAAAAAATAAATAAAAAATAAATCTCTATACCCCACCTGGGGCTGGAACTCATGATCCTAAGGTCAAGCATCCCTGGTGCTTCTGAGTCAGCCAGGCACCCCTCCTTATTTATCCTTACGATTTTTAAAGTAACGTTATCTTTTCTCTAGTTTACTGTAATAATACAGTATATAATATGTATTAATAGTTTATGTTGCCACTAAGGCTTCTTGTCAACAAGCCATTAGTAATTAACTTTTTGCAGCAGAATCAAAAGTTGTATGTGGATTTTTAACAGCCGCAATCCCTGTGTTGTTCAAGCGTCACTTGTAGTAAGTACCTTTTTCAGATTGTCTTCTTTCACTTAGTAATATACATTTAAGTTTCCTCCATGTCTTTTCATGGCCTGATAGCTCACTTCTTTTTTGGTGTTGAATACTAATTCATTATCTGGATATACCATACTTTGTCCACTTACCTACTGAAGGATATCTTGGTAGCTTCCAAATTTTGTCAGTTATGGATAAAACCAAGTATATCCATCCATGCACAGGTTTTTATGTGAGTATGAGTTTTTAGCCCCTTTGGGTAAATACCAAGGAGCATGATTTCTTCTTGAATGAATTACCTGGTAAGGGTATGTTTCGTTTTGTAAGAAACCACCAAAATGTCTTCCAAAGAGGTCGTACAATTTGGCATTCCTGACAACAATGAGTGAAACTTTCTATTGCTCTACAGCACTTGATGTTGTCAGTATTTTGGATTTTGGCCATTCTAATAATGGTATAATGGTAGCTCATTGTTGCGTTAATTTGCATTTCCCTGATAACAAAGGGTGGTGAACATCTTTTCATCTGCTTATCTTTGGTGAGATGTCTGTTTGCACGTCTTTTATCTGTCTTTAAATCAGGTTGTTTTCTTATTGTCTAGTTTTAGGAGTCCCTTATCAGACGTATCTTGCAAATATTTCCGGTCTGTGGCTCATCTTTTTTTTCTTAACATTGTCTCTCACTGAGTAGATTTTTAATTTTATCCAGCATATCAATGGTTTCTTTCATGGATTGTGCTTTTGGTGTTGTATTTAAAAAGTCATCACCGTTCCCAAAGTCATCTAGGTTTTGTCCTGTGTTTTAGGACTTCTGTAGTTTTGTGTTTTACACTTAGGTCTATTATCTACTCTGAGTTAATTTTTGTGAAGGGTGGCAAGATCTGTGTCTAGATTGTGTGTGTGCACATACGCACACATGTGGATGTCCGGTTGTTCCAGTACCATTTGTTGAAAGACTGTTTTTGTCTATTTGTTAAAGATCTATATTGTCTTTGCTCCCTTGACAAAGGTCGGTTGACTGTCCATATTTATGTGGTCTATTTGTGGGCTCTCTATTTCTGTTCCATTTATCTATTAGTCTGTTCTTTCAATGATACCACACTGTCTTGATTACTGTAGTTTTATAGTGAGCCTTGAAGTCAGAGTGTCAGTCCTCCAAATTTATTCTCCTTCAATATTGAGTTGGCTATTCTAGGTCTTTTGCTTCTCCATGTAAACTTTAGAATCCTTTTGTCAACATCCATGAGATGACTTGCTGGGATTTTGATTGAGATGGGATGAAACTATAGATCAAGTTGGGAAGAACTAATGTTTTGACAATATTGAGTCTTCCTATTTATGAATATGGAGTATCTATCTCTCCACTAATTTAGTTCTTCTTTGGTATCTTGCATCAGAGTTTTGTAGTTTTCTTCATATAGGTTTTGTACATACCTTGCTAGATTTATTTATTTTAAAGATTTTATTTATTTATTCATTAGAGACAGAGAGAGAGAGAGAGAGAGAGAGAGCAGAGACACAGGCAGAGGGAGAAGCAGGCTCCATGCAGGAAGCCCGATGTGGGACTCGATCCCAAGACTCCGGGATTATGCCCTGAGCCAAAGGCAGATGCTCAACCACTGAGCCACTCAGGTGTCCTGAGATTTATACCTAAGTATTCCTTTTTGTGTGTGAGGGGGGTGCTGATGTAAATGGTAATATGTTTTTAATTTCAAATTCCACTTCTTCACTGCTTATGTATAAGAGAGCAGCTTACTTCCACGTATTTGTATCATGCAGTCTTGCCATAATCACTTATTAGTTCTAGAAGTTTTATATCTAGATTCTTTCAGATTTTCTACATAGATGATCATGTTATCTGCAAATAAATAGTTTTACTTTAAAAAAAATTAAAATAAAAGATTTTATTTATTCCTGAAAGACACAGAGAAGGGCAGAGACATAGGCAGAGAAAGAAGCAGGCTTCCTGCTGGGAGTCTGATGTGGGACTTGATCCCAGGACCCTGGGATCACGACCTGAGCGAAGGCAGATGCTCAACCACTGAGCCATCCAAGCACCCCAATAAATAGTTTTATTTCTTTCTTCCCGATCTCTGTGATTTCTATTTTCTTTTTTTATTGCGTTAACTGGGACTTCTAGTATGATACTGAAAAGCAGTGACGAAAGGGGACACCCTTGCCTTGTTCCTGATCTTAGGGGACACCCTTGCCTTGTTCCTGATCTTAGTGGGAAAGCGAGTTTCTCACTAATAAATATGATGTTAGCTGCCAGGATTTTCCGTACGGTGTTCTTTATCAAGTTGAGAAAGTTACTCTCTATTTCTAGTTTGCTGGGAGTTTTTATCATGAATCAGTGTCAGATTTTGTGAAATGCTTTTTCTGCTTCTCTTTAAAAAATCCCATGATTTTCCTTCATTAGCCTGCTGATATGATGCATTACAGTAACTGATTTTCTTTTCTTTTCTTTTTTTTAAAGATTTATTTATTTATTCATGACAGACACAGACTAAGAGAGAGAGGCAGATTCCTCACAGAGGAGCCCGATGCGGGACTCAATTCCGGATCCCAGGATCACAACCTGGCCTGAAGGCAGGCACCCAATCGCTGAGCCACCCAGGCATTCCAGGAACTGATTTTCAAATATTGAAACAGCCTTGCATACCTTGGATAAATCCCACTTGGGTGTGGCACTTAATTCTTCTCATACATTATTGGATTCAATCTGCCAATATTTTGTTGAGGATTTTTTGCATCTAAGTTCATAAGAGATACTGATCTCTATTTTTCTTAGAGTGTCTCTGTCAGATTTTGGCACTAGGGAAATGCTGCCCTGAAAGACTGAGTTAGGAAATAGTCCCTCTACTTCTGTGTTCTAGAAGAGATTGTAGAGAATTGGAAAAGTTTTTTATTTAAATATTTGGTAGAATTCACTGGTAAACTCAAGTAAGCCTGGTCCTTTCTGTTTTGGGAGTTACTAATTATTGATTAAATGTCTTTGATAGATATAGACCTATGTAGATTGTTTCTTCATCTGTGAATTCTGACAGTTTGTATCTTTCAAGGAATTAGTCCATTTCATCCTGGTTATCAAATATATGGACATAAAGTTCATAATATTTCATTATTATCCTTCTAATGTCTAGGGAATCAGCAGTGATAGC